TAGTACTTGCCTACTCTAGGCGTATAAATAATTAACTAGTAATAATTACCTCTTCTTATAGTCCTTACTAATCTATAGTTTAGATAGTAAAGTTAACCTACGTAGTTAATAGTAAAGTTAACTACTAATTAGTGTTAGTAACACTAAGGGATAAGTTAATATAGTTAACTATATATATTAGTAGTAATTAATAAATAATAAAGGTAACTATAGTTCTCTATTATACGTAAAGAAAAGAAGGATAATTATTATAGGTTAGTTAGTTAAATAACTAACTTATTACCTATAAATCCTTAGAGAATCTATAGCTAAATATCTAAGGATTCACTAGCAATAAGTCATCAGGGTTAACCTAATAACTCTAATATTTATCCACAATAGTCAATATTACAACAAGATTATTATAGCTATTAGACTACTACACTTATATTTTTTATAGTAATAGCTTTACTAATGTTCTAGAAGACTAATAGATATAAGTACACTTTAAACCTAACTAGTATAAGCTACTGCCTTAATAATACAAGATCTACCTTGTTAGCCTAAAAGAAAAAGAAGTTATTAAATATACTCTTAATAAGCTTAGTAATAAACTCTACTACACTAAACATTAAGTACTAGTAGTATACCTAGTTTTTGTAGTCTAGAGATAGCTAATAGACGTATAGTAAAAGAAGAAGTCTTAATAGGCAGAAAAACCTTAGTAGATAACTATAATAGTAAAGAAAAATAACTAAGATAATAATAATAAAAAGAAAAGATAAATAGTTATTAACGTCTAACTACTAAATATAGCTATATTACTAATATATACCTTATAAAGACCTAGGAAGACATTATTAGTAAGTGTACTAATATAATATATATCTTTACCTTTAATATAATAGTATTCTACTACTAATAGTAAGTATACCTTAGCTTATAATAGGCTTTTACTATTGTTACCTATAAGGGGTAATTTACTTTTTAATATCTAGTTATAGGATTTAAGAACTATAATTCCTATATTTAATAATAGATAAACATTATACTTAAGGATACTACAGTAGACTTATACTATAATAATATAGTTATAGCTATAAAAGGAGGTATTAACTAATATATTATAGACCTTAAGGAAGTATTTAAGGCACTATTAAAGGCTAATATTATACTAGGGCCTAATAAGTCTAACGTTAGATTCCCTACTATAGTTATCCTTAGTAAATTAGTTAACTTCTTTAGACTTACTACACTAGATAATAAGCTAAAAGCTATTAAGGCTATTAAGTTCCTAAAGACTCTAAAGGTATTAGAACACTTCCTTAGTCTTAGTAGCTTATTATACTACTATATCCTATAATACACTACTATTACTTAACTACTAGAAGAGCATAAAGTACTCCTAATCTATACTTATTAGAAGTAAGATAAAGACAGTAAGCCTACACCTAGCAAGATACCTAAGGGAGCCTATAATATATAGGTAAAATTAGTAAATATACTACTACTAATAGTAAAGGAAATTAACGCCTTTAAGTAGCTAAAGACAGTAATAACTACTTCTATAGTACTTACCTTCTTTAACGCTAAATAATAACTCTTTCTTAAATTTAATATATTAGTAGATAGCATTAGTGTATAGGTCTTCTATATTAAAGACACTATCTTTACTAAATAGGACTAGAAGTAATACTTACTATATAATACTATTTAACCTATTGCTTTTCTATTATAAACCCTTAGTAACACTAAAAAACGCTACTAGTTAATAGAGCTTAAAGTTATAGGCTACGTTTAGATAATCTTAAAGTGTTATTACTAGATTTAAAGCACCTAAGTTTAACCTATAGTTATCTTTACTAACTATAAGGCTATTATAGATATTTAGTTATAATAAGTTAATAATATTACTAACTTTATAGTATATACTATAGTAAATAAAAAGCTTATAAGGGCAATAGAATATATTAGTTAATTTAAGCTAAGGATATTATATAAGCTAGGAAAAGACTACCTTGTCCTTAACACTCTTAGTAGACTATAAGCTAATAATAGGACTAACCTAACTACACTAGGTATACTTAATAAGTTACTAGACAACTAACTAATAAATATTACCTTATACTTAAAGACTATACCTTAACTACCCTAAGTGCTTATAGTAGTAAATATACTATTAGATAATAATAAACTAATAGGTAGTATAGTTTATATACACCCTAACTTCTAAGCTAAGATCTAGTAAGGCTACTAGATAGACCTAGTATAGTAATATATTACTAATATATTATATTAAAACACTAAACTAGACAACACTAATAAAGTAGACCTACTATTCTACCTAGCTAAGGGTCTAATTTAGAAGAAACAAGATAGTAATATTAATAAGCTCTATATTTCTTAACTATACTTTATAAATATTTTTTTAGCTATTTACAATAGTAACTATCTTAGCTATAGTAAGCTCTTAGAATATCTATAGCCTTTTTATATATATAATAGTCTAAAGGCCTTCTACTACTACCTATTATACTGCCCTATATATTATATATACTAAATATAATAATATAAGGCCTATAGTAATCTCTAGCCTATACTTTTTCCCCTATGTTTATACTATATAATTTCTATTAACTTTATAATAGCCTTTCTAAGATCTTTACCTAATAACTATAACTATATAATAATTATAGTTAATAAGCTATTAAAAGAAATAATATTTCTTCTAGGTAAGACTATATACTTAGTAATATAATAGGGAAACGTCCTAGCTAACGCCTTAATAACTACTAACTAGGGATTTCTAAAAATTATACTATTAGACAGAGACCTAAAGTTCTTGTTATAGATGTAGACATCTATTTAGAAGACTACTAGTACCTCCCTACTTTATATAATAGCCTATTACCTATAGATAGATAAGTAGACTAAATAAACTATCTAGACTATTAAATTAGCCTTTTATTATTATTTATATAGTCTTAATAGCCTAAAGCATTAGATATATATTATCCTATAACTATAGTTTAAATTTAACTACACTAAGAATATATTAACTAGAATATTACTAAATAAGGTTAATAAGGGATTTATACTAAATAATATTCTACTACTGTTAATAAAAAGAATAGTAGCTAACTTTATTAAGCCTCTAACTACTTAACTAGTAGCTTATAATACACTAGCTATTATAGCTATAATAATAAAGTAGTATTATAACTAATAATATATAATAAAGTTTCTTAACGTTAGTAACTAAGTCCTTCTCTAACTATACAAAGGCTATAATATACTATAAGCTATAATCCTTAGGCCTAAATATAGGTAATACTACGCTAGGCTATTTAAGATTATAGAATAAATTAGTTAATTAGTATATAGACTTTAGTTTTCTTTAACTTAGTAAATTTATAATATTATCTCTATTAACTACCTTAAACCTATACTAGTAGACCTATATTATAGAACCTTATAGACTAACCTTTACTAACTAGTTATAAATTAACTGCTTATCCTATATTAAATTATAGCTAAGCAACTAGGTAGAACAAGACCTTAATTTCTAATTACTTATAAACACTAAGGTTTATACTATAATAGATAGATAGTAGTATATAACGTTAATAAACTTCCTAATATAACTTATATAAAAAAATAATAAAAATAAAATAACTAGACTAAGAAAAAAAGAAGAAGTTAACTAGAAAGTAGCTACTATCTTTCTCTTAGCTAATAACCTTTTCTTTTCTACTAGTAACTTCTTTATAACCTATCCTCTTTTAACTAACCTTTTCTTTACTCCTTTACTTACTAGGCAATAATATACTAAGTTATTAATAACTATTACCTAAACCTTCTTTACTATAAACTACTTTATAACTACTATAAGTTATTTATCCTATAGACAGTAGAAATAGAATTCTATATATAAGTATATTCCTTATATACCTACCTAATTTATAGCTACCTTTGCCTCTACAAGAGATACTTCTTTCTCTATAACCTCTCTATGTTTATACTTCTTTAACTTTATTTCTTTACCTATACCTTATTAACTTCTAAACCTTATTAACCTTTTTTTTTTTACTTATATTCTCTATTATAACTATAATATATAGTAGTTTACTAACTTTAGACTATACGTTAACCTTTTATAGATTAGTAATATAGAAATAGATGTATTTCTTTAATAGGAAGAGCCCTTTATTAAGCTAGAGTCTACTAGCACTAATATATAGATAGTAACTACTTTAGGAAGTAGTTATCTATAGGCTACTAAGTAATAAACAATAGAGCTATAGCCTATAAATAATAAGGTATAATTAGTAGCTACTAAGGGAAGTAGTAACCTATGCTTTAATAAGCTATACTCTATAATTATTATTATTAATAGTAACTATAAAACACTAGATTAGACTAGAAAGATCCTAAAGTAGCTAAATAAACTAACTAACGACTAGATACTATATAGCTTTATAAAAAAAGACCTATTTAAAGACTATAAGGACAGTAACTACCTATATAGACGCCTATTTAAGCTATAGTAATATCTACTTATCTTATAGTATAAGTAAATACTAGTGCTATAAGCTAAAGGATATAGCTAATAGCCTAGTAAAAGAAGACTTTTTATATAAAACACTGCCTTATTTAATAACTAGGGTAATAAGTAAAAAGGATACACTATCCTAAATAAAGTAGTTATAGACTTTAGTTTACTATAAATATAAATACCTACTTACCTTAATAATAGTATCTAAGTTATTTACCTACTATATATTTACTATAATAACCTACTTATAGGCTAAACTTACTTTAGCCTAGTAGCACTATATACACTAGACTACTGTCTAGCTAATAATAGTAACTAGATTAATATTAAGGTAGTATTATACTAATTAGCGCACAGTTAGCTATAAAGCCTAGTATCTCTTAGAAATAATATATAGATTTTTTTACTAGTGACTACTTATAACTAAAATAAGATATTTACCTCTATTAAAAGTATTAAAGATAATATTACTAAACTATTTAGGTATAAACATAAAGTAACTAATAATAGTTAATTAAAAACTAAGCGTAAAGCAGTAGAGACTACTAGTAACTATAAAAAAGAGAAACACTTTATAGATAAGGACTTTAAGTATACTAAGATTAGTCCTTAGAAGTACCTATAGCCTACTATATATAATCTACTACTAAAGTAGACCTAAGTATTTAACTATATATACACTATTTTTAATAATAACTTAAAGAATAAAATCTTTAATAAACATAATAAGTAAGCTATACTATAAGCACTTATAGCTAGACCTAGTAAAGTATAGTAGTAAGGAGACTACTTAAGCACTAGTAAAGCTAAAGCCCTACAGAAGGCTATTAAGAATAGTAAATACCTTAACTTTATAACTATAACTATAGTAGTTATATAGTATAATCTAACCTTACCTAAGAGTTAAGATAACCTAATTATTACTAACTATATTAAACTACTTAAGACACTATAGGGGGCTACCTATAACTATTAACTAACTATTAATAATTTATTAGTTATATTTAGCTAACGTAAAAAACTAAGACTAAAGCTAAAGCTAATTATAGAGACACCTAAACTACCTCCTAAAGCACTTATACTTACTAAAGTAAACCTTATAATAACTTTAATTAAAGTAGTCTATAACCTACGCTTACTTATAGAAGTAGATATTATAAAGATTAATACTATTATAACTACCTAGTAGTTATTAAAGGAAGACTAGGAGTTTATTAACTTTATATACTAGTATACTAATAATAGTTCTTTTCTTAATAAGCTATAAATCTAATAGCTTTACTAACGTCTAGCTATAGATAAATAAACTAATTTACACTAGTATATCTTATATTTTACTATAGCTAACTATAGTAAATATATAACTATTATTACTAATATAATATAGGAGATAACTATAAGACTAATAGGTAAACTAAATACACTTATACTATAATACTACTCTAGTATAAGATATAACTAGAGTAAATAAGTTAAAAGGTAACAGATAAGAATAAGGATAAATATAACTAAACAAGAACAGATAGATTTACTAAAACTATATATAGCTACATATATATAGCTATAGAGACAAAAGGGAATTAACTTATTAATAGTGAGGGCACTATATTTTTAGAGGGGGCAGACTGTTACATAAGCAGCCCACTGGCTACTACATAAAGCAGCAAGACCACACAAGATAGATAGATAAATCAATGAACTATATACACACCACACCATACCATAACAACCTAGGTAGCTAGGTATGCAAAGTTCCACTTAATCCGGCCTAGTGCAGACTGGTCACAGGGCGGTACTGCAGGGCTCGTAACGGGACGGTGATACAGGAGGGAAGGGATAGGATGGAGGAGGGTATGGGGACAGACGAGGACTGAGGGGAAGGGAGTGCGCATGTGTGTTTAAAGCACGACTTAACCAAGTTTGTCCTGGAATCATGTATGTGAATGTGATGGCGTGCAGCTTTTGCCAGGCCCAGCAGCCGCAAACCCGGTTATAGCCATGGTACACCAGCACCTCCACGAGAGGGCTTGTTGCGAGACGGGATATATCTGCAGTCTCGTGGCAATAGCCCGCCATGCCAGAGGCAGGGAACTCGTACGGTGTACATAGTGGGCAGAGATTTCGTTATGACCTGCCATACCCTGCTTGGCCGAAACTCAACTTGGGTCCACGGCTCTTTGAAGCAAAATACTGATGAATGCATGCATGTACGATGGCGGTCGAACCGATAGCTCGTACACCAACAGAAAAACACTGCAAGCGACGCCAAATCGTGTCTGGCAGCCGGCCACGGTTTCCCTGATGAGGGAGCCGAGCGCGGGAACGATGGATCTGGCTCGATTGAGGAGTGTCGGTGTGATCCAAGGTCAATTAATGTTGTGAATAAGTAGATAATAGTCGCCCATCCACGTCTCGTCTCTCATCCCATCATCTCCTGGATGGGGCCGTCGCTGGGTTTGGTGTCATCCACGGATGGAGCCGACATTGGACCCCCCCCCCCCCCCCCCCCCCCCCCCTCCCCGGCCAGTACTCTGAGGTACGGCAATGCCAAGTTGGGTGGGCAGCCGAGGGTGCACAACAAGACGATGGATATACGGCGTGGGAATTCAGGCAGATGAAGGTGGTGAAGCATATCCATTCCATGCACCCGGGAGAGTGAGACATGAAAAGGTAAAACATGAGGAGAGATGGAGGAGTATGAGAAGGATGCGAAGCCACCGCCATCCCGGAGAGTGCGTAGCAGAAACAAGATGTGCCCAGTCCAGGCCAAGGCAGGCAAGCAGTCTGGCGATTGCAGCCAGTCAGCTAACACTCGGCCAGCGTGGCAAAGCCGTGCGGTGCATCGTGGACAGGGGTTTAGATTGGACTGGGTTGAGGGTGGGTGTGGGTATCTTTTGTTTTTTTTCTCCCCCCAGAGGGCGTATGAGGTTGGGAGGACGGCGGGGAAACGAGGCCGGAGAAGGCGACGAGATGAGATGAGGAATTTGCATTTTGCTCGAGGGTACGTTTTTCGTAACAACGTAGAACGGGGGGGTAAGGGGGGTTTTAGAAAAGGGGGCACCCGTGGATATTGCTTCGGGGCCATTGGTGAATACAGCGAGGCCCCAAGTTTTACCTGTGAGGAAGACAACTGAACACCTACATCGGGACGTTTTCTGGAGTAACCTGGGCACGTGGGTTGCACGGACTGAAGGATGACGGGAAGAGAACGACACCCGCCGTGTGTCGTGTGTCGGATGCCGAAGTATGCTGCTAGGTGGCGAGCACGAGGGTCATGCCAAGGGGGCCAAGTAAGTCAAAGAGAAGAGAAAAGCCAGAAAAGCTAGAGGGAAGGAGAGAGCCAGCCATCCATGGACGGGTGCGGTGCGCGCCCGCCCGCTCGTGAACGGGGGGTCCAATTGAGGAGTCTATCAAAACGCAGGTGGTGGTCATGATGGACGATTTCCACACCTTTGCTTGTTCCAAAAAGAGACATTCCCTTTTTGTCGGTTCCCTGGTGGAGACTCGCCGCCATTCGAACCTACTTACCTACCTACCTACAATATCTACATATGATAGAAAGTAGGCAGGTAAGTATGTATGTATATATGTATGTACAGTGCTACCTAAGGAGGGTAGGACCTGCCTACCAAGCCATATTATTATATTGTCTCTGCCATGACATCGACGCGGAAAGGATGGCGGTAACCTTTGCGGAAGGTGCAGGAGCCTTTCCTTCCCCCACAATCAGAAAACAGACATGCCAGCGACTTCCCAACGAAGCAAGAACCAGGCACCTGGTAAGGGTACCGATCATCTCCCACACGAGCATGAGCAAAGGGAAGGAGGGAAGGGACAGAACGCGGATGGTGCGGGAAGGAAGGGCCCGGCTCTTCTCATCATCGAGGGGTACGGTACCTGCCGTTATGCTGGCGTTGGCGTTGGCGTTGGCGTTGGCGTTGGCTTTGGCGCTGTCGCTGGGAAGGGACGGATGGGACCGATGGCACACTGTGAAAGGTAGGTAGGTAGGTAGGTGCAGCGGGAACGGGAGGTACATCCTCCATGTACTTTATTAACATAAATCGCCCAACCTGCCCCCCGTTCCCTTTTCCTCTCCTCCTTCTCTCCCATTTTCCCTCACCTCCTTCTCTGCTGACTGTCCTTCTGCTGTTATTGCTCCCTGCAAATTGTGGTCTTTCTGCGAGTCTGCGTTGCCGCTCGCCTGCCGTCCCTTCGCTGCCGACTACTGCATTCACTGACCTGGAAACGGTAGCTCCTCTGGGCTGTCTGGGCCTTCGGTACCGTTTTTACACCGTTAGGGGCTCTTGTAAGTGCTACCAATCCGAATACTCGCCCTTTCCAAAAACCACTGCCGTCGTGGGGACTCAATTGTCCAAGAGCGAGAGAATCTCGCGACATTGTCTGCTCTCCCCGAGGCGTCATGACCAGAGCAGAGAAAGAGAGAGAGCAGAGAGAGAGCGAGGGAAGACAAGGAAGGGGAGGGGAAAAGGGCGAAAGATGAGCCAAATTCAAGCCCGATCAACCTGGAAACCCAAGCACCACCACAACAACACGCCAGACACCAAAGCAACATGCGAATGCAGGCACGAGTGAAAGCCTCTCCCAGGACCAGCCATGCGGGCCGTGGCCATGACGGGGTCGGCACCGGGCCATGCCAAACTACGCCAGACATGGGATCCCACCAAAGAAAGTAACGACACAAACCGAGTGAAGCCCGGACCCTACACCCCAAGTACGCTTTACTGCGCACGCTACGGAACATCGACCTGCCTTACCGCGGCACTCTCGCAGTAAGAAAAAACAGTCCACCAGGAATTAGTTGGCATTGCTTACTTCCACGCAATTGTTTGGCCATTCATTGTCTCGTTTCTGCCGGCCGACGAGAAAGGGGGGGGGGAGCTGGGGACACAGCTGCCCACAGTCAACGATGACCAAAACATGGTATGGCTGCTAGGGGGGGTTGGGCGATTGGCACGATGAGGTGTGTCACCGGAAAGGGTGCGGCTTTACCGCCGCTTTGGCTTCTTTTGGGCTCTATGGGCGGGGCACCCTGCAGCAATTAACCGTGAGCGACGAACGACAACGGCAGCCTTTGGATGCACCATTTATTTCTCGCACGACGTACGGCCACCTGCGCGACACTGCACCTATCTGCCTTTTCTTTCTTCTCTTGAGCAATCTGCTGCGACGGACCTGATTGCTTCGCTCCTTTGGCCCCGCCATCGATTCGTCCCCAGACGCTGCACTGGGGCAGGGCCTCCCCACTTACACCGGCGGCCATGTGGCTCACCCCCCTCTCCTGGGGATGGTGGTGACGGGGAAACCCTCAACCACGCGCCATAGGGGAGCCATGGCGGACTGCGAAGTGCAGTTGGACTGCTCGCCAAGTTTTGCTGAGCTGGGCGCGGTACTAGACTTTGCCGGATATTTCACATTGGCAGTACCCTGACCACTACGCTGTTGTATCCTGCCGACCACCAAACCTGCCGTGCTTCCATCTTCCTGTTTCTTTGAAGTCGCGCCGCTGCGCGACCGGCATCACTGGTCGAGTTACGCACCTCGTCTTCTGCGGCTGCCATTATCATCTGCCGCGTTATTTCCCCGGCATTAAGAATCTCTTCCTGCACCCTCTTTTCTAGCTGCAAGATGCAGTCTTCAAGCTTCTTGGCGGATATGTACCCTACTGTCATGGTCCAAGCGGACAAGATTGTTGCACATCCTACGCTGCCGTCTTTGTTTCAGGGACAGCAGCCACGCGCCAAGACGAAGCTGGATTTGATGCAGAGCCGACGCGAGGGACCTCTTTCGAGCGAGCACATGCTGCCATTTTCACCACAAGCTTCGGAAGTCATCGGGGTGTCTCTTGGTTGAGCGGCCGCGCTATTGTCGTAGTGACCTGGGTGACGTTTGGCCTCAAGGAATCTCGGATGCCACCGAAACCGTGGCCACGATGCGAAGAGGCGGTTCTCGATCCTATTGGACCTACACCTGTGGCACCGAGGACTTGGGGATACTCTTTGGGACTTTGGGAGATGCAATGCACTCAAGGCTGGAAGCGAGGTCACACGGGATTGTCAAGAAAGCGTGCCAAAGAAAGGCGCAGCAGGAAGATGGAACGGAACCCATGAAACGACTGGGAAAGTGTGGGAATAACGACAAGCATAACAGATACGCGGCGACCGACGTAGACGATGAAGCCGGACGATGTTATCAGCAAGACGACGATTGGTGGGCAGCAAAACGGCAGGGAGAGGAGAGGAGAGGAGGGGTCGGTATGAAAACGATAAGGAGTGGGTACCTATACGATAGTAGAGCAGGCGATCTTGGGAGGTACTGCTAACATTAGACTGGTGGCTGCTTATCATGATACTAACCTAGTCACGTGATTGGACATGGGGGGAAGCTTCAGGCCCTGGGCTTTATACGAAGCCCGTGCTACACTAGTCCATAAACGGATAGACTTCGAGTCTTTGAGCATCTTCTGGCGCTGGGCGATGAAACCAGTGGAGCGCGTCGACATCAGCACCGCCCCCCCCCGGGGGAACCGACTCTGCTGATTTGCCAGGCAGCCAGACAGACAGCGACCGACCGACTGACACCCAGGGACACGCAACTGCTGGGAATAGGACACACTCACATTTCCTCATACTCAGTTTCGCATTCGTAGGAGAGATTTGCCAACCCACCCACCACCCACCACCCTCTCTCATTCCGACAAGTTCGAGTTGTAAGCCACGCTATCGTGCAGCAAGTCAGCCAGAGGGTCAGAAAGAGAAAGTGTATTTGTGTGTGCGCGCGCGCGTGTTTGTGAGCGTGTCTTGCGCATCGACCCAGACAGACGACGATACTGGCCAGCCTGATTCCTATTCGGGTGGCCTTGCAGTTAGTTGTCCGTTGCTTCGAGTGGCAGTCGTTAGGTAAGACCTGACCGTTTTTTTTTTTTCCGTTGCATTTGGCGCTGATCCGCCCCCCATCGCTTGCTTTGCTTTGCTTTGCTTTGCTTTACCTGCCTGTCGTGTCCTGTCTTCCTCTGCCGGCGCCCCGAAAGTCGTACCTTTTTTTATTTTTATTTTTTTTGGTATGTGTGTGTGTGTTTTAATCCTCAACAATCCTCGCACCCCCATCCCGATCAACACCCCCTGGACTACCGATAGAGTTGGTAGGTCTTATTCCAACCGTCTCGTGACCGTTGTTTGATGCAATGACGCCGTGTTCTCGATGGTTGATGGCCGTTGGTGTGCGTTGCTGTTGATGCCCTCTGGTCGCGCAAGTTCGCGATTTTTTTTTTTTCTGGCGCTGCAGGCTTTCGGCATCATATTCGCCCCCCTTTGCCTTTGTTTCCCCGTTGGATTCATCGCCTTGCGCTCCCCTATCCAGCCAGCCACCCACCTATCCATCCATCCATTCATCCTGTGTCAGGCTAGAGATGTCAGGCTAGAGCCTCAACTGAAATCTTGGCTTGCAAGACGTGTCTCGTTCGGCGGCGCTGCCTGTCTGTCCGTCTATCTTGTTGGTTGTTGGTTTTGTCCTTGCATTGCGCTTCTCTTGGATGGACCGACCTGACGCTGCCTCTCTCTTTCCCTCATATTTCCCTTGGATTTTTTTTATTGTTATTTTTCATTGTAGTTTTTTATTGTGATTTTTATTGTTATTTTTTTATCACTTTTTATTTCACATTTCTTCCTTGCCCCTTCCCAGATCATTCAGTCAGGCAGTCGGTCGGTCCCCTTGCGCGCGCCGCCTTCCTCCGCCAGCCTTCGTCGCCCCCCTTCCCTTCCCCAAGGAACCCAGTCAAAGCCCGGTCCTCCTTGCCCATCAGCCCGTCCGTTCCTCCCTCTCTCTTTCTCTCGCTCCCTCTCTCGCTCACCTTCCGCCCGGCGCCAGTACCCCCAGCACAGCCCAAAACCTCCCTCAGCGCAGCGCACCTCTTAGCCAAGCCAAAAGCGGCCGGTCCACTTGCTGATTTTCCCACGCACCCGCAACTCGTTCGCTCGCTCGCTCGCTCGCTCCCCCCCCCAGCACCACGCACCACGCACCACGCACCACGTCCACACACACAACCGCGACGCGCGACAAGTCTGCATCGCGACAACCCACCGCCGTGTCACTTGCCATCTCATTCGTCTACTGCTCCATCTCGATGGACATTGGCTCATTTCGCCGCAGTCGCTAACTTTCTCAGTAATCGCTCGATGGGTCGCTTGAGCCGACCACAACCATGAGTACCTGGATGAACGAGTCCGCGGTCCCCAACCACAATGGAAACGCCTTCCCGCACATGAACGACCCGAACGCCGCCGGAGCCATGATGGATCCCTCAGCCTTCATGGGCAACCCTGCCCACTTCAACCCTGCCCAGTTTGCCAATCCTCAACAGGCCCAGCAGGCCCAGCAACAGCAGCAGGTTCAACAGCAGCAGGCTCAGCAGCAGCAGCAGCAGCAACAGATGGCCGCCATGCAAAATGGGCAAATGCGCAATGCCTCGCCTTCATCCTTCCAGAACCCCGCCTATCAAACGAATTCCGTCATTCCATCCAAGCGACCTCGCCCGCGCGAAGATAGCCTTGCCGGCTCACCGCGACAGAATCCCGGCATGCTGCCGACCTCGCGCTCCGAGACCCCCCAGACCTTTCCCGGCTATCAACCCGCCGGCATGCCTCAGCAACCCCAAGGCCAACCCTCGCCCTATCCCCATCTACAACCCAACGGCTCCGCCAACGCGACGCCTTCACCCATCATGGCGAACCAGCTACGCCCCGGCAGCGTGCCTCAGCGAGTCGCGACCGCGTCGCCGCATCCCTTCTCCCCCGGCGCGCAACAGTTCGCGCCCCAAGCGTCGCCGAACCCGTCCGAACACGGTACCCCCCAGCCGAACCACTACATGCAGCAGCAAAATATGCAGAACATGCCTCAGGGCTACAATCCCAACTATAACCCCTCGCCCTCGCCCGCGCGACCCTCTCCGAACCCGAACGCGATGGCCGCCTCCGGCATGATGCCGCAGCAGATGCCGCAGCAGATGGGACAGATGCCCCAACACATGGGTCAGATGCCGAACCAGATGTTGCCCCCCAACTTGCAACCCCGAAACCCCATGGAGCAGCAACAGATGGCCGCCTACCAGGCACGCTTGGCAAAACAATTACAACAGGGCACGATGCAAGGAATGCAGAACATGCAAAACATGCAGAACATGCAGATGCAGAATATGCAAATGGCCGCCCAGATGCAGGCCCAGAACATGCCCCAAGGCCGTGGTATGATGCCGAAGCAGCCCATGCCGATGCCCAACGGCCAGATGACCCCCGGCGCCATGCGATCCCAGCCGCAACAGCCACAACGGCCGATGCCCGGGTCCAATCCCGAATCCTTCATGAAGTCCCTCAACAACTTCATGGCAGCCAAGGGCCAACAACTTGACCCTAACCCGGTCATTGGCAACCGCCCCGTCAACCTTCTCACGCTGTTCCAATCTGTCCAGTCCAAGGGAGGTTACAAGCCTACGACTGCCGGCAACCAGTGGCCCAATGTTTCCAACAGCATTGGCTTCCATCCCGGTCAGATCCCCCAGGCCCCGCAGATGCTGAAGGAGATCTATGAGAGAAACCTGCTCCGCTTCGAGGAGGCTTGGGCAGCGCAGCAAAATCGACAGCGCATGATGCAACATCCCAACCAACCAGGCATGCCGGGCCAGCCAGGTCAACCCATGCCGCCCGGGGCCCACCCCCAGTCGACTCCCACCAAGCAAATGTCCCCGCAGGCTCAGATGCCGCCTCAGCAGCAGATGATGCCGCAGGGCCCACCGAACATGCCTCCCCAAGTGCAGACTCCCGTCAAGCAAGGGTCATTCAGCGGGCCCTCTCCCTCCGTCAACGGCTTCCAGACCCCTCAGGCGCCAGGACCGCATACCCCGGGGCCCGGGCCGCAGGGCCACGCACGCAACAGCTTATCACGGAGCGTCGAGCCGACACCGGGTCACCCCCAAGGCTTCCCCTCTGCCTCTCCGGCTTCCGTCAAAGGCGGTGGCATGCACCCCATGGCCGCGCCTCCCGGCATGGAACAAAATCCCATGGCGGCCTCTATCAAACCGCGCATGTTGCGGTTGGCTCATGAGTCTGACGAATATACGCCGAGTGCCCGTCCTCTTGAGACGTATGGCGGAATCAACGTCAGGGCTTTCGACTTGAAGGGCCTAGAACTGCAAGGCCTGAAGCCTGATGTCCCGCCTCCCTACGAGCTTGGCTACGTCGATCTGCATGCCCTTACGCGGAGCTTGGAGTCTGGCATCCACGGTGAAGTTCGGCTTGCCCTCGACACCCTGGCGGCCGTTACAGCGACCCAACACCAGGCACTGCACATCCACCTGAAGTACTGCGAAGAACTCATCGAGGCACTTCTAGAGTGCGCCGAGGAACAGCTGGACCTGCTAGTGGAAAACACGGAGGAGGCCTCGGCCGATATCCAGCTGACCCCCTACGAGGATGTCGCGCGTGCCTGCTGGGTTGATAAGATGGGCGTCAAGGAGCTGCCCAAGTTTGGATCCCTCGATTACGAGCTTGACCGCGCCGTCGACCGCTTCTCCTGTGTCATCACGATCCTCCGCAACCTGTCTTTCCCCGAAGCCGCCAACGACAACCATCTCGTGCTTGGCGACGAGCTGGTGATCAAGTTCCTTTGCGCCGTCATCAGGTACCTCGGCACCAGGAGCATGCTCTTCAGAACGAACGCAAATACGCTTGAGTTTATGAAAGACGCCATTATCCTCTTGTCCAATATCGCGGGCGCGGTCGAGATCCCCGGCCGCGAGCAGGCATTGTGCCTCCTGCATTTCCTTCTGGCATTTGCGCCGGCGCCCGGACCGACATGTGTGGACGACAAGCTCTATTTCCCACCTTACCAGCCTGGCGTGCACACGTACACGTTCCACGCCGTGGATGCCTTGGCCAGGTTCTTGGCCAGAGACCAGCCAAACAGGACACACTACAAGATGCTCTTTCTCATGGATGCCAGCAGCAGTCCGCCATACGATTTGCTGACGCGGTCGTTTGCTCTCGCTACCACTGTCATTCCCATACAATCACCCGAATCCGCAGTCGCTCACATCGAAGCGCCCGAAAGGTTCTTCCGGCTCGTCGAGGATCGCAAGCCGTGGTTGATGCAGGGTCTCTTGGCCGCAGATATCCTCGCCTCGCTGGCTCCAGGGCACGAGACGGGCGTTGCAAGGTCATGGCTTTCGAGCGGCAATGGGTTCGCGCAAGCCCTGTACCATTTTGTCCAAGTCCTGGGAGCACAGTTTGAGCAGCCATGGCAAACACGCAGTGGGCAAGGCGATCCAGCGGGCCGGGACACGGGGCTCGTGTATATAGCAACGTCGGGCATTTCGACTTTGAGGAGGCTTGCTGAGAAGGCCTGCGATCCCAACGATCCCAAGTCATCCGTTCCCGCCGATTCGTTGCCTTCCGAGGAAAGCCTTTTCAAAATGATGTTGATGCGATCTCCGGAGTGGACAAAGGACGGCGTTATCAAGAATCTCACAGCATACGCATCGGCGGACTCCTGAAACTCTGGTTTTTTACCCCTGGGGGCTTTTGCATGGCATCTGCGGGCAGTTGGCGATTTCGCTGCCCTTCTTTGCAGACAAAAAGAAAAAAAAACTTTTCGTAGAAGCGGTTGCTGATACCAGACGGGGATATGTTTCGATCGACGAGGCGTAGCCAGCCGAGTCCTGTGCCTGACGCCAACGGCGGTCACCTTCGAGAAGGGCGCAAATATTGTACAAGTGTTGTAACCAAAAAAAAAGACATTAGGCGAGTGGGGAGGGAGTTTACTGGGAGCATGGAGCGAGGCTGCTTGGCCAGGGAGCCATTCTTTCATAGGTGTATATATGACGCGGCAATGCAGAAATACCTCCAAAGACTATTTGAATACCAATTCATGCCAGGTGCTGCGTTATTAAACTGAGTTGAGTCAAATGTCACCTCGTGAAATCGGGCTACTCGCGTGGATTTATGTCGAGTTTTCTTCGGTAATTGCGTGCCCCTTTCTAGGACATGTAGTAGTACAAATTTTTTTTCTCTCTTACGCCATAGATCCGCCCCTTTGTTTGTATTTGTACGGGGAAGTTTGTTCAGTCGGTGAGCCCGTCGTCCCCTTTGGATAAGAGAGCCACGTTTATGAGATCTCCCATCTCCTCCTCCTCCAACGGTATGATACATTTTTGTAATTATACACTCCTTTGCTTCCACTCTAGACTACCCGGCCCGGTCAATCCTATGCCGAAGTTGCGCTCGTCGACGCCTTTGCGACGGGGGCGGCGGTGCCCAGCGTGCTGTTTAGCCACGCCTTGACCTTCTCGACGTGGAAGCCCTGTGGAAAGAGAGAGGTGTTAGTCTGGAAGTAATTTCCAAGGAAAGAAAGGAGAACAAGACAAAGACCAGCGGACAGGGAGTAGCAAGGCGCCGAGGGGCGTGACCGCGCCTTTTAGGAACTCCCTGGGTCACAAGGGGAAGAACGAGAGGAGGTGACGAGGGGGAGAGACGGGCTACAGCGCGACAGCGTACCTTGATCTGGACGTGGCCCGTCACGGGGTTAAGCTTGACCTCGTCGGCGGGGAAGCCGGCCTCACGAGAGAGGTCCTGGGCGAAGGCCTTTTTGTTGCCCTCGATCTTCTTGACGAGGGTGAACTTGGAGGAGCCGGCGGCCTTCGTGCGGGCGTAGACGGGGTACTGGTTGCCGGCGGTCAGGCCAATGATGTACGGCCTCGCAGCCGATGTCTGTGTCGCTGTTGTAGTCGTTGAAGCCGAGGCGGCGGCGGCGGCGGCGGCGTCTGTGGAGGAGAGGCGTATTGAGGGGAAGAAGGCGGATGTTCTGGTCGGGCGGAGGAGGGAGGAGAGGGTGCTCGGCCGGGCGACGGCGGCGGCAGAAGTGAGTGCGGAGCGCATGCTTGAAAAAACGGCGCTGGCTGTGCCTGTATATGAGTGTGTGGGCGGGTTATCGGATTGGTGAGAGGGTGTTCAGGTCCTGAAGAGGGGTGGGAGCGAGGCTGAGGTCAGGGCTGCGGATAGCTTCTAGTCGTGTAACAAAATGTTTCTTCGCTGCTCTGAAGAGGGAGGATTCGCGCCGGCTGAAGCTCGGGGACGGTTTTCGCGTGCCGCCGGGCCCGTGCGCCCGCCGCTGCTGGGTCTCCCTCACCCGTCCCCACTCCTTTCCTGGGAGGGTACGGATAGAGCCATGTATTATGTCAGCTCGTCTCGAGCCAGCCTGGCTTATGTCAGCAGCACCAGGCAGAACCCAGGTGAAGTTTAGGCGGAGCGGGAAAACCCCGGCACGAAAAACCCCCCACCAATTCTGGTGTTTGGCGAAAATGGCCAAAACTCTTTACTGCCCCTCAGCGGAAAGAAAAGATTCGAGAGCCACAGAGTCGATTCGCGCAGCAAACCCCGAACCGGACGCAACCCCCTTCTCCCCCCCCCTCTCCTCTAGGCGACGACTCCCGTACCTTCGACTTTTGACGATCCGAATCCCCGAGATCGAAAAGAAGGAGTAACGACAGTTCCTCTTCTCAACACCTACACCCACACACACCACACACAAACCCGCCCATCATGGAGGAAGTCTACGCCGCCCTCGGCGAGGAGAGCATCCTGCCCAAGCTCGCGTCGCAGCTGTCGCGCCACCTCGTCTTCCCCCTGATCGAGTTCGAGGCCGGCCGTGCCGAGGAGAAGGGCGACGACGCCGGCGCCCGCCAGATCCTGGCCGGCAAGATCAAGCTGCTCGAGGACACCAACATGGCCGACTACGTCGCTCAGCTGTACCAGGACCTCAACGGCGGCAGCGAGGCCCCCGCCGAGTACGCCAAGAAGCGCAACGAGGTCATCGCCCAGCTCGAGAAGTACGAGCAGGACACGGCCAAGATCTCGGAGCTCCTGACCCGCGAGGACGTCGTCGGCGCCCTGCGCAGCGACAAGGTTGCCAACTTGGAGTTCTTGAAGAAGGACCACGACGTACGTCTCTTCCCTGCCCTCCCCGCCCCCCTTTTGTCTTTTGTCATCGTGAAGGACGGTTTGGCTAACGCGACTCCCCCTTCCAGGTCACCGTCGAAATGGTCAACGCGCTCTACGAGTTCGGCCAGTTCCAGTTCCGCTGCGGCAACTACGGCGCCGCCGCCGAGCTGCTGTACCAGTTCCGCGTCCTGTCCACCGACAACGACCTCGTCGCCTCGGCCACCTGGGGCAAGCTCGCGTCCGAGATCCTCACCACCAACTGGGACTCGGCCGTCGAGGAGATCATGAAGGTCAAGGAGAGCATCGACAGCAAGCTCTTCAACAACCCGCGCGCCCAGCTCGACCACCGCACCATGCTCGTGCACTGGGCCCTGTTCCCCCTCTTCAACCACGAGCCGGCGCGCGAGCCCATCCTGGACCTCTTCTTCTCCGCCGCCTACATCAACACCATCCAGACCGCCTGCCCCTGGATCCTGCGCTACCTTATCGCCGCCGTCATCACCGGCCGCTCCCGCACCCGCAACTCGTCCCTGCACCAGAAGCAGATGAAGGACGTCATCCGCTACGTCCGCCAGGAGGCCTACGAGTACTCGGACCCCGTCACCGAGTTCGTCTCGGCCCTCTACGTCGCCCACGACTTCAACGCCGCCCGCGAGGCCCTCCGCAAGGCCGAGGAGGTCTGCCGCGCCGACTTCTTCCTCATGTCCTCCTCGGACGCCTTCGTCGACGCCGCCCGCCACCTCATCTGCGAGAGCTACTGCAAGATCTTCAGCCGCATGAACATCCGCGACCTGTCGGCCAAGCTCGGCCTCAACCCCGACGACGGCGAGAAGTGGATCGTCAACCTCATCCGCGAGACCCGCCTTGACGCAAAGATCGACTCCCAGGAGGGCACCGTCATCATGAACCACCCGCCCAACAACGTCTACCAGCAGGTCATTGAGAAGACCAAGGGCGGCTTCTTCCGCACCCAGGTCCTCACCGCCGCCGTTTCCAAGTAGAGTGCGGGAACGGGTGTTTCGGGGGATGGCACCGGCAGCGAGCGTAATGGCATGATTACACTTTTTTGAAAGGAAAAAAAGAAAAAAGAGGAAAGAGACCCCCAATAACCTATGAGGAAGAAACAGGAAAACGGGTCAATCGTCATCACGCAGAAAACAAAACCAAACACATCCACCAAAAAGAGGAATCGAGACAACCGGGTTCTTTTTTTCTCTCTTTTTATCTCATTTTTGTTTAAACATGACACATACGATTGAAACCTAGACACTCCGTGACCCTTCCCGCCGGGGCAAAACCGACAGCGACACCCAGACACGGCCACCCGAGGCGGGTAAATAGGACCATCCCCTTCCGGACCCGGATGGGGGGAATTGTTGGCTCATGGCGGGGAGAGAGGTCAGGAAGTTGTTGTGGGATGGGGCAAACGTGGGTCAAAGGAAAAAAGAGAGAGGCCTTTGGCCATGAGGGTTTCTCTTTTATTTTCTTATTTTTATTTTTCAGGACCCCTCGGTACCCACGCGCAACACATGGAAGATCTCCAGAGGCTTCTTCTTTTCTTTGCATTGGCACGGCGTTCAGGGCAAAAAGATCAGGGGTGGTGGGGAGGTGGAAGCAAGAAATCTCTCCAGGGATCTTGGGGGAGGGGGGCTGGTGCAAGCCGGTCAGAGTTGCAATGATAGAACCGCCGAGAGAGGAGGCGAACGGAATGGGGGGGAAGACTGAAGAGATTCAACGCTTTGAATGGAATGTTACACTTTTTTTTTACTCCTCCCCCTTTCGAAGGGATCATGTCGATTGTGGCAAGGGGCATGCGTCTGCCCTATTTTTTGCGTGACAATTCTTGCTCCCAGGCTGGTCTCGCTGAGAATGGTGAAGGAGAGAGCGATAGCCCTGTTGGTCGGGCAGAGAGGTCTTCCGGAGTTGAATCTCTAGACACCGTTCCGCCACGGAAGGATGTATACCGGAGACTGATGAGGGCCTCGAGTTGAGGTGTGCCGTGATACGTTACCTAGTAGAAGTATCATCAAGCAGTGCGCTTAGGCAATATCCTGCGTGACAAGAAGTTATAAGGTTAATGAATCGTAACGTATACGAGGTTTTCCATTCATCAAGCGTGTCTTCATAATTCTGTCTATGAGCCCCCTTCTATTCCAGTCTTTCCCATAACAACTGCTTGCCCATCAATCAATCAACGCCTCATCTCAGAATAGACCCATGCCTGCAGACGGCCTACAGCCCGTCCTCACGCCCGGCCATGAACACCCGCCCCTTGATCTCCTCCACGACGCTATCCCTCATCCACCACTCCTGATTCTTCTCCCCCTCCTTGCCGTCGCCGCCGTTCTTGGCCTTAGCCCACGAGCTGCGCTCCAGCTGCGCGCGGCGGTCTGCCCACTCGAACAGCATCTTGAGCCCGAGCAGCCGCTCCCTCGAGGACCCGTCCGTGCTACGCTCCAGCACGAGACGCGCGTCCACGGCCGACCCGGAGCTCTCGCCGCCTGCGCCCTCGGACGACGTGGTCCGGTCGAGCACGGTAGCGCGTTCGGCGTACGTGAGGTCGCGGAGAGCGTCGAGACCAAACACCCACTCAAGGGGGTCGCGTTTGCCGTTGTCGGTAACGTCGGCGAGCGCGTCGCGGCCGAGAGCGCGCAGCGTCGAAGTGAACGGGGCCTCTTGCGCGGGACGCCGACGGAGATAGAGGCTCTGGTTCTGCCGGAAAGCGTCAACAAGCGACGGGTTCTTTTCAAAATCGATCTCGAGGTCCCAGAACGCCGGCCCGGCGTTGGTGCGGATGCTGGAGATTTCTCCCAGCGGAGGCAGGAGACAGGGTGTCTGCCGGACGGTAGCGATCGCATCGGCCTCTTCCTGCGCCGCCGTCGTTTTCCGGCGGATTTCGATGGGAGCTGAGATGGGCTGGCCCGTAGCCACGTCTTTGGCGACGAGGCAGCGGGGATCCGTGGCCAGCACCCAGAAATGACGGAAGGCCTGGAGGTGAGACCGGTTGTCCATGACCGATGTGGGAAATATGGGGTAAAAGGCGATGAGCAAACTGGCGATGGCCATGTTGCTTGTGCCAAAGGTAACCGTTCCGCATCCGAGGAATAGTGATCCGATGGCCAGATGGGCAGCCAAGTGCGAGCCGTACGGTGTTTCGGGATCATCCCGGCCGTGCAGTAGACGGAGACGACGAAGGACGACGAGGTCACCGGTTCCGGCCATAACCATGGCGGCAGAGAGCGCAAGGACGTCCTGGCACATGCGGGCATTCGAACGAGCCAGCTCCTCGTCGTAGATGGGGTGGTCAAGGGGCGGCGGTCGCTGCGTGGCGGGTATCCGAGAGATGCGGATAAAGTGGTCGAGGTAATGAATCAAAAGGTCTCGCACCCTCGTAGACGCGCTGCCTGCATAACGCAGTGCGATCGAGAGGCAGATTCCAGTGATAATGCTGAAGAATGGTAGGTCGGTGCTCTTCAGCTTGGAGGTGTTGACCAGCTTGTGGCGGTTGCGGTAAGGCTTGGGCAGGCTCTCCAATATCCATTCGAACGTTGGCTGGATCTTGCTCCACATGATGAGGTTCTTCGCAACGGTGCGCAAGAGCAGGATGTCAGGCCGGATGTAGTCGAACTGGACGATGGACTCGGGTACATCAATCTTCCGGGCAACGATATGGTCCTCGGACTTCATAAAAATCAAAGCCAGCGCCATGACCGCGCCCGCTGCTGCTCGGTCCAAGACGTGGACCATCTCCACCTTCTTCGTGGCAGTGGCGATCGTGACAAGACTTTCCGTAAGCTTCATGTCATGAAGTCCGCGGAGGTCGTTCCCTTTGCCGAGGTTGATGAGACCGAGCGAGAAGCCGGCGGCCAGGCGGTAGCACTCGCTGCGAAGAGGCTCATCCTCGTCTTCTTCGTCAACGTGCCCGATCTCTGACATCATAATCTCGCTCATGCGTCTATGCTGGCTATTGCAGTATAGGAGGCCAATGCCCATAATGCCCGTCGTCTGAGTCAGCGGAGACAAGTTCAGCTCCGCGGCCCCTCGGGGTAGCATGCGAGTAACATGTACCGAGAGAAGACGGGTGATGAGAGAGTCCATGGTGCCCATATAAGATGCGGCAAGGCCCAGCAACAGACCAACAGAGGTCATGGTGTGTTTGGGGGTCAGGTACTTGAAAGCGACCCATTTGGCGATGCCCTTGAGGTGGCCGTTCAAGCCCAGAGCGAGAAGGAAGCCGGCATGGCGATTGCTGAGGTCGTGACCGGGCTTGTTGTACAAGATCCACGAGGTGTCGATGCCCTTCGCCTGTGGTGAAATAGCGAGCCCAGCAGCCACGCCTTGATGGAAGAATCCCCAGCAAACCTTCTCCTCGGTGAACAGTGTCTTGTCAACCCCGACAGTAACGTTTGTTGGGCGAACAACGCAGTTTAGATTGAAGCCGGCCACGTGGAACTTCTGCGTCAGTAGTGGGTAGCGCAGGCTGTAGTATAAGAGAGCACGGCCGGCGGGGATAGCCAGTGTGCCAGTGGCTATTCTGGAGACGAGCTCCTTCTGCCTCTCGAGGTACTCGCTCTCCGACCATGCTGGGTCGGCCTCAAGGCGGACGACCCGGGCTCTGTGGGTTGACAAGAGGGTTTGAGCCTCGTTCAGACGACGATCCTCTTTAAAAAGGGCTCGTATGACGGCTTGTCGCTCGGTGCCCTCGCCCTCGTCGTAGCCAATGTTATTGTGCTCATCGACGCTCTGGCATATGGTTCGGTAATCCCAGGAGGCGTTGTGCGTGGGTGTCTGTTGGAAGTCAGTCTGGGACAGAAGAGGCCACTGCCAAGAGAACTCACAAGAATGTTGGCGCCACTCTTCTGCAGGTTCTTGGTTGGTGCCAAGATCGTGCTGATGTCGCCCCGGTTGACGAGCTCCAGTAAGTCCTTGGGCCATGAAGCTGGCGGTCGGGCCTGGCACCTTGATATCGAATCTTTCAGGGGAGTGAGCACAGCTTCGGGGAGTGTCTCAAGAACACGGCCGCTGATGCCTGCCGAATGCATGGCTTCTACCATACTGGATGGGCTGCTTTTCGGTGTGAGTTTCTCAAAGAGACGTTTCAACATTAGCGTCCTGGGGGTGATGGAGGCCCATCTCGAATCCTTTAGATGGTCTTGCTCAGCTTTTACTGTCTGAGAGTGGTAAAGATTGGCCAATGTCAGAAACGGATGATATTGGCCGGTAGCGAGACATGTCTGGATCCAGTGGAAGATGTCAAAATCGACGCCCGACGGCTGAGTGAGAGGTACTTCGAGGCGGAACTCTGTTGAAGTCAGCATCATGAGGCTCCCTCGTCAAAGACTTTTTTTGCTCACCTGCGTCGTAACGCGGATCCAGCTCCTCCTGGATTCCTAACTCATATATAGCCACGAAGTCATGCCATCCGAGCCAGCGGGCAATCTGGCAGAGGATCACGCGTAACGGGGCCGTTCCTGGAGAAGCATATTCAGGAGTCATTATCTCCAGCTTTTGCTCCTCCAGCAGGAGATGAAGGGCAACGAATATGTTCCATGCAGAATTCCCGCGGTTTTCTGCGCTGCGCTGCTGTCCGGTTGGCAGATAACCATTCGGACCAACGGCTTTTTCACCGAGCGGAGATGCCAAGTAGCCTTTGGCATATTGAATATGGGTAGACATGAACTTGGACCCACGAAGACCCGAGTTGGCAGAACTGTCATAGTCGTCACTGGAGTCCTCGTCTAGCGTCCAATCCCAGGCCCTAGTCTGCTGCCAATTGGGACAGCCCAGCGCATTAGGGGTTTCGTAGAGATGCAGTGTTTTCCAGTCCTCGAGGCTTTGGATTGACCCAAACGAGCCGGACTGGGGTCGTCTCTTGCGTCTCGTAGGTTTAACCGGTGGATTCTGCGCCGGATTTGTCTTTCCGAGAGCGAGATAAATGGAAAGTAGCAGGATCACCACTGCGGACCATTCTGCGTCAGCGACCTCGAACTCTTCGCTCTTCACCCACATCATGATGTGCCACCAGCCGGGGAATATTTTCTCGGCGTGCGACGCCGGAAGAATACTACGACACGCGTCCAATACTTTTCGCACCTGCGGATTCCGAGGTTGCAGTTGGATCTGGATTTGGTGGTGTCTTCCCTCGCCATCAACCATATCGACAATTCCCTTGGCTTTGGAGTACTTGAGACCACTGACGTTGCCATTAGCAACCTCGATGGCCTCGGACTTGCGATGGCGAATGTCTCTGTCGATGACACGCCCGCGATAATTCAGGCTGCGGACGTTTTCCAGTGACATTAGCGGAAGGTTGATGGGGGTAATCTGACTCCATGGCGCCTGGATGCTCAGTTCCCTGCGGCCCTCGTGCCCTTCAGACAGAATGAGAATGACGGATATGTCACCGTCAGTCACCTTGCAAGAGTCTACAACATGGTGGGCTCGACGGAGCGCGCCGCAAGCCAGCCGGACGGGATCTTCGGACGACGTCGAGCTTTTGCCAGGTTTTGGTGGAACGAGGAAGCGCGGTCCTCGCTGGAGGTCAATGGTCAGGAGCTGGAGTCTCTTATCAAGGGAGTCCTGAATCCCGATGAGCAGCTCGCCGCGCAGGGGGTCATCAAGGGCGAACTGAGGCGCGGTCAAGATGAAGACGCTGCAATGTTCGCGAGCAGGTTGCTTAGAAAGCGAGTAGCGGACGTTGGAGTTGTCCAGAGAGATGGACTGGATCTTGGTAAACATCATTTCCTGGGAGAGGCCATCGAAGACGTGATCGTCCAAGCCCATATTATGAAAGCCCTCGAAATCACCACCAGCTCGTAATTCTTCCAGCAAGCCGTCAATCGGGGCCTCCAATAAGCTGCCGAGACTGGGGTGGATAGTCTGGCTGTGATTGAAAGAACCATAGCCACCACTGTGCCTAGGTCCTTGGCTGCCGTACGACTCGATGCGTTTGGATCCGCCATGCGCTGGCACCAAGGACTGCTCATTAAAGACAGAACGCTCCTGAGAGGCAGACAGGTCAGCGCGAGCCAACATGGAGCTCACCCGGCGGGACTGTCTCCTGTGATGGCCGGACTCTTTATCGAG